TCCTGACGCTGCCAGGGGCTAGACTGATGTCCATGGTTCACATTATCACCTAAGGCCATGCAGATGTCTGTGGTCTATGCTATGGCCTGAATCCATGTTAATGTCCACGAGCCATGCTGCTGCAGAGGGCCAGGCTGATGTGAGTGGTCAGTGCAATCATCTGAGGCCATGCTGATGCCTGAAGTCTGAGGGTCATGTCTGAGTCCGCGATGTTACCCATGATGTCTGGGACCCGTGTTACCAAAGAGGGCCATGAGAATTTCCATGGCCTGTGCCGCAGCCTGAATCCATGTTGATGTCTGTGGGCCGTGCTGCCTCTGGGGTCACACTGACAGGAGTGGCCTGCACCACCACCTCAGGCTATGATGATTGCTATGATCTGGGATCCCTCTGTGGGTCTTGTTTGGGTTCATGGTCTGTGCTGTGGGAGACCTTGATCCATCCTCACACTGACTGTGAAGAGCAAGGAAGCTACTCTTGCTGTGGTCTCAGTGACTGCAGACACAGTTGACAAGGAGGGACACAGAAGGCCTCTGTGACAGCCCCTACCCCCATCCCAACCCCCACCCACCCAAAAAAAGTTAGAGCCTAAACAGGAAACCATTGGAGAGAACTCATTAAAGTGTGATAAGGATGCTGCAGTGTGGCTCCCCACAGCTGATGACCTCTGGCAGGGGTGTGGGAGGGCAAGGAATTGGTTCTATTTAAGGGGCGGGCCATTGTGCGTGTGACCACGCTCCGGTGAGCATGGGTGAGCATGGAGATAACACAAAGTGAACTACTTGCACTTTTTTTGTCCTATTTTTAAACTTTTATTTATTTATATTTTGGGAGGTCCCAAGGGTGGGGGCAGGAAAGACTGAGGAGTGAGTGTGATCAGGGTGCATGATGTGAAATTCCCAAAGAATCAATGAAAGCATTGTGTCGGGGAAAAAAAAATGTTTGCATCAACTACTTTCTCTCAGCAATGAAAAGCTGCCTAGCAGAGCATCTAAGAAGAATATTCTGAAATATCAGAAGTTTCTCTTCAAGGGATGGAGGAGTCCATGAGTCAAGAACCTGCATTTGACTAAACACGATCAAACAGAAACTCACTGGGCAGCTGAAGAAACCGTTTTTAAAGGAGGAGATTTGTCAACAATCATTCATCGAACACTTCCTCCTCCTCCTCCTTTGCATTTGGGGGGGAGAAAGATTTGTTTATTTCTATTTTATTTGTATGAATGGCTTGTCTACATGTATTTTTTTATTTAACATTAACATAACTTCTTTATTGATTCTTTGGGAACTTCACATCATGTGCCCCAGTTCTGCTCACCTCCCAATCCTCCCATACCCTCCCCTCACCAACAAAAGAAAATTCTAAAAAAATCAAACCAAAACAAGCTAGAAAAAAACAACAAGCAAAAACCTCTCTGCTTCTCCTTCTTTCCCACTTCTCCAACACCACTTCATTCATCCTGGTAACACTGGGAGTGGTGTGTCACACAGTACACCCTTTAGTCCTATGAGCTTTACCAGTAAATGTTCATTGCAATGAGACATTGGTCTGGTCCAAGTCTCTGGTTTATGGCGCACCATCTTCACGACAGCCTCAGTGAAACTCCTCTGGGATATTCTGCTGTTGCCCCAAGTCGTGGAGTTCCTGCAGGTATCATTCCACAGGACCTGTCCCTTCACACGCTCCGGCAGGTAATGGACGGGACAGATGTTAGGGTGGGCCTGGGTGGTAGCTGAGATTGTCAGTCAGGGCCATTGGTGCCACCTCCACAAAGGTAAGGGGGCAGAGTCAACTCTCCTACATCCACGCCGTCATGGTCAGTTCTCCTTTGCTATGGTGAGGGGCGGGGCCATCTCTCCTGAGTTCAGCTGCCAGGTTTCTTGCTGCAGTGTCCAGAGAGGGGCAGGGCCAGATAAGGGGAAGGGTGGCTCAGTATGACCCTCTGATTTCATCACAAATTGTTCCTATGCCCCCTGAGGTGATACAGGTCATAGGCATCAACACAGACCCCAACTGCAGCAGGACCATGGACCCAGGCATGGCCCTTGCAGTAGCTCAGGCCTGGACCACATTCTGGCTCTGTGTGGAAGCACCAGCCACTCAGATCAGGATGTCTCTGGCAGTGGCACAGTCCCTAGACATCAACAAGTCCACAGGTTGTGGCCCCAACCCCAGGCTTCCATGTGACTTTTGGTGGTAGCACAGGCCTTGGACTTAACACAGACTGTGACTGCGGTAGGACTACGGACCCAGACATGGTCTTCAGCAGCAGCCAGATCTGGATATCACCATTGCCCTTGGTGACAGACAGTGCAAGTCACACAGATCTGCACAGCCCCAGTGGCAGTGTAGCCCTCAGACACGCTTGAGCATCTGTATGGCTTTCCATAATAGCAGCAACCTCAGACATCAACACAGACCCTGACTGCATTATGGTCACAGACCCAGGCATGGTCCTCAGCTACAGCTCTGACCTAGACATCACTATAACATCGAGTACGGCACAGGCCAATCGGATCTGTGTGCACCTGGCTACAGTATGGCCCTTGCACACCGACGTGGACTCAGGTGACTGACCTGACCCCAGGCATCCACATAGCCCTCGGTGGAAACAGGAGCCTCGGACACCAACCCAGACCCTGGCTGCTATGAGGCCAGGGACCCAGACATGAACCTCAGTAGCAGCTCAGGCCTGGATGACAACATGGCCTTGGGTGGCGGGACAGGCCACTTGGATCTTCATGGCCCCAGCTGCCTCCATGTATGTTATTATGTATGTGAATTGAACATTTTTTAAGTGTGTGCTTGTGTGCAAGTTTATAGTATATGAGTGTGGATGTGTGAGAATGTTCATATATAGTATATGTGTGTGAATGCGAGACCGCGAGAGCATGTCAGGTATCAGACTTTATCATTTTCCACCTTTTCCCCTGGAGGGAGGGCCCCTCCTTAACCTGGAGCTAGGCTAGCAACCAAAAAGTCTCAGTGATCCTCCTGTCTCTGCCCACCACAGCACTGGGATTACAGGCCCAAGTCCGTCACTGCTGGCTAATGTTTGGGGATCTGCACTCAGCCCTTCTTACTGAGGCAGCAAATGCTGTTAACAAACGAAAACAAACAAACCCAAAAACCCACTGGTACTGCCATGGGAGTCATCTAGATGGAGAAACAGACCTATGTGCACCCAGCTAGTATTAGACCATAGTCAAAGCAAGCAGGGCCACTTCTCTCTGTGTATGACTCCCAAGCTCCTCTCCTTTCTGAACACTAATGACCCCATTCTGCCAAGGCAGGCATGAACAGGTCATGTTTGAAGGTCCAGGACTAAGAAGGGAAGAACTTTTACTGTAACCAAGTCCTGACATGTTGCTGCTACGTGTTCAGTCACTTGGGGTTCCTCAGCGACGAGAGGGAAGAGAACTGGGGTTTCAGAGGTCTCCTTAGTGATTTTGCTTGTACAGCAAAGTGTCTTGGTAAGACTCAAAAGAACCGGGACAGCCTGTGCTGTGCAGTCTAGGTCCATGTCACTCAATGGTTAAGGCTGGTTCATTGCTTCTGGCTCTGTGTGCGCTGCTCTTGCGGTATTTACTCACAGTGACAACTCAAACAGCCTAGAAGGTCAACATTGCTCCTGCTTCCCTTCTCATCCCAGCCCTGTCTCTCGGGGCCAGGAGGCTGATCCAGTACAGATGGGATTCCTTTGGCAGAAGTGACCCCAAGGCTCTGAGAGTGTCCTAAGGGGGAAATTTCATTTTGCTGTTTGCAGCGCAAACAGGATGCCACATCCTTCAAGCACAGCAGAATAATGAACCTCCCGGAAATGCCAAGAAGTCCTTGAGGAGCTGAAACAGCCTTGATTCCGGAGAAGGGGGAAAACTATAATAATGATATTACCCCAAAGAAACTACTTAGAGGACTCAGTTGATTTTTTTTTTAACCTGAAAGTAAAGCTCTGCGAGGGGGACAAGATACACAAGGAGGTCCCTTGAAGGAGTGGATGTTGCAACACTGTATCCAGATGGCTCTTTCTAGCATAGGCTAACCTGCTAGGGAAGAAAATGGGTAGGAGGTAGTGTTCACACCAGGCAAACAAAGGGAAACGTGCATTTACTTTTAAACAAGAATTCTTGGGCTCCCGACCGCTGGAAGCACCAGACAACACAGGAGAGGAAAATATCAATATTGTTTGGTGTGTGCTATCGTGAGAGAATTCGTTCTCTCGGCAGTCACCGCAGACAGTTCCCATGTGTTTCCCTGAGGGCAGTGGATTCCAAAGGGAGTCCAGGCCAGCATGGATTCTCAGAGGAGCCATCTGTGTTACAGATGTGGGGCAGAGCTGTCATTTGATCAAACTATTACAGACATACCTGGTTTATCAGAATTTTCAATGCTGCTATACTGCAGTGCCTCTAGGTACATTGTAACATTCCAAAAAAAGGGGCAGTATGTGGTAGCTTCCAAATTTAGATGAAAAAGTATTTTTCATAAAATGCTCCCCAGACCTAGCATTCTAGCAATGCTGTCTGGGAGCTTTCTTTTAACCCCGTGTCTGATTATCATCTAGTCTGGCAATCTCACTTGAACCAGTGTTTCCTCTCTCAGCTGACCTTACACTACTCTCAACCCCAACACCTCAACCATATTCCTTATACAATTCAGTTATGTTTACCAAGTTTATCTCTTCTGCTGACTCTGAGATACCACAACATTTGGGTCAATATGCCTCCGCTTTTCCTTGGAATAAAGACAAGTCGTTGAGTACCAGCCAAAGACAGGAACCATACTGAACACTTTCTCAGGAGTCCCTCAGGCTCCATGGAGAATTGGTTCCAGAGTCTGGGGCACCAAAATTTTAAGTCTTATGTGTGAGATACCTTAGCATTTGCATATACCCCAACTGTACAGCTTAAATTCTCTTGAGATGAAATATGAGGATGCCATAAATCGAGTTGTTTTATGGTATTATTTAGGGAATAGTGACAGGGAAAAACATACTCAGTACAGATACAATGTTTTATTTACTTATTTAATTATTCATTCATTTATTTAAAATTGAGTATATAACCCAGGATAACCTTGAACTCTTTATAAACTCAATATCAAGGATGATGTTTAACCTCAGATCTTCCTGCCTCCACCTGTCAAATGCTAAGATTATAGTCACGTTTTACCTCAACTACTTGATATAACACTGGGAGTTAAATTAAGGGCCTCAAGCATGTTAGGCAAGCACCACTCCAACTCAGCTCCATATAGGCAGGCCTACATCTATAGTAGGGCTAGGATGGCCTTGAACTCTGATCCTTCTGTTTCCTCTTCCCAAGTTCTGGGACAAGAAGATTATGTTACTAGACACCAAAAACATCAATAAAAATATTTTTTTAACTATAGTTGCTTGAGTCTACGATTGTGGAAGTTGTGGCTATGAAGGACCAGCTGTGTTTATTTGTTCATTCAACTTTCTCCAAAACTTTGCCTTTTAATTTTTTAAATGTATATGGATACTTCGCTCACACGTATGTGTGTGCACCACTTGTGTACCTGCTGCCCACAAAGTCTAAAAGGGTGGGTGTAGCTCGCTAGAACTGGGGCTACAGACTTTTGTGAGCCAATGTGTGAGTTCTGAGAATCAAAGTTGTGTCCTCTGAAAGAGCAGCCAGTGCACTTAACCACTGAGCCATCACTCCAGCCTCTCTTTGGAATGTTTATAAGTAGAAAAGCAGACGGGGTTTGGTGACTTGTCCAGGGACCCGTGTCTTATTAGCAGCAGCATCATAGAAGGAACACAAACCTTGAGCAGGTGCTACAGATTGGCCCCCGGGGTTCCCTATTTTCAGTTCCTCTTCCCAGGCCTTGCTCATGGTATATCTGCAATCTGCACCCTCCTCTCGCACATCTCATTCTTCTAAAAACGAGCTTTGGTCCAAGGAGAACTTCGGGGAGTCCAGACAGAGAGTTTGGTCCTGACACCAATAGGGGCCATGAGTGGTGTTAGGAATCAGTGAGGCAAGGGTGGGTTGTGCGGTTGAAGTCTCTCGCCTAGAAAAAAATGCAGAACAGGTTGGTTAAAATCTGACAGTAGAGAGCAGGGAAGAGTTTTGAAGACTAATAATTCATTTAATTCTTACAAAAGCCTATAAGGTTGGGGTACTGGTCTCCCCACTCCCATCCTACCAATGGAAAAACTAAGGATCTGACCCAAAGTTACCCAGCTAGAGAGTAGGTCAGGCCAGGTTTTGAGTTGAAATTTGTTTATTGTTGAAATGAAGCCACACGTATTTCCAAAGTTCTCCCAAGTGTTTTTATTCTTTTTGTAAACTTCCTTGAGAAGCAGTCACTAACTGTTTGTAAATTCACAGGAAGGGGACAGACTGGATTTTGTGAACCAGTGAGAAGGGCATCCCTTGCATGCCTTCCAGCCGAGCCATTCTGGTGAGTGCGGCTCTGGACAGAAGTAAAGAGATGCCGGGGACAAATCACCTTGAGAATGACCCAGAAGGAGACTGCAAGATGGTGAGGAGGGAGATGTGAGAGTCAAGGGTGAAAGCGGAGCCAGAATGACTGCCTAGAAACTGGGGTATCTCCCCCAGCTTCCATTGTCTCCTCTGACCTCTCGCCTGGGCTGCTGGTTCCCAGTTTCCGCAGATGAATTTCTACCCTGCTCCTTGCTTTCTGCTTTATCTTCACCAAAGAGCCAAAACTGGTAGGGGAGTAAGTTAAGGAAAAATGACTGGTATAAAGTAAACAAAAACTCAAGCAGGAATAGTACAGAGTACCCCATCATTATCCAACAGAAATCTAAATCCCTGACAGGTGTCTGTCATGTGCCAGGCCCACACAGCTAAGCACAGGACATGTCGATGGAGGCACAGATTAAGGTATATCAAAACACACCTTGAAAAAAATCCTACTGCACCGAAGTCCTGGAAGAGAAGGGACGGAGCGCACTTGCCTCAACTCCAGCACTTGAAATTCTATGAACTCTCCAAATAGGAAAGCTTAGAGCCCATTGTATGCAAAAACGGGATCCAAAGGGCTTGAATAACTGCTCCAATACCAGCTTGTCACTGGTCACAAATTCAGAATCCTGAATTCTCCATCTCTAGACGCTTCTCTGCTAGTGGAAATACTGACGCAGAGAAGCGCAATGAGCCGGCATTCTTAGGATCTCAGTCAGATTCTCCCCTCCTTCTCCAAAGGAAGGGCTGCACAGGATGTTGTCTTGGAGTTTGCTAACAGTTACTGTCTGGATCCTTTCTTCAGATCAGGCAGCTGGGGAGATGCTCCCAGGCAAAGTGACAGTGTCCTCAGAGACACCATCCCTTGGGCTGGTAATCTACTTAGGAAAACAGTCTTTAGGCCTCTTTTAATCCATCTGTCTCTCCAGCCCTGCTGGGAATGAAATCTAGGGCTTCCAGAATGCTAGGCAAGCTCTCCCCACTGAACAATATCCCCAGCACTATTAAAAAACAAAACAAACAAAAAATCTTATAGGTCTTATCCACACACAAAGGGCTCTGCAGCACCTTTGACAACAGATGGGTTCCAAGTCACTATATCAAACATCTTTAGTCGTATCAAGTCCAATTTATACCCCTAACCCCATAGAAAAGGGCCCGAGTCTCCGAGTGAATGACCATCCTGCCCAAGGTCATACAGAAAATAATTAGAGCAGTCACTCAAGGTTATTACTCAGTGGGATCCTGGTGGTTTAGAGGGCCAGCGTGGAAAGCAATCATAAATACAGTGACATTTCAGAATCCAAAACTAGGACATTAGCCTGACAGCCCCTGGTGCCTTCCCAGAGGCAGGGAGGGGTGATTGCAGTTGGCATCAGCCCAGATAAAAGGGATTAGTGGTACTGACTGCAAGGACTCACCCAGTCCAATCTGCTCATTCACAGCTGAGGCCCCTGAAGAGACTCGGTGACTTGACAGAGGAGGAGGAGGTGGTGGGCAGACATGTTTTCTGTTTTCTCAAGTCTCAAGGTTGAGTCAACAGGCGTGGGTGGGCAGAGGACAAAAAGGAACCATTGTTCCAGGCTCCGTCAGATGGACTTGACTGACCCACAGTGCCTGCTGTAATCCAGAATAGGTGCAGCTCTCCCCTACACACCAGAGACCCCATGGGAAGCCAGATGGAGCTGAGGGTCTCAAGTTCTTGCAGACTGAGGCAGAAGGCCTTTGGAAAACTACATAGAGGTGTTTTTGCTTTAATTGTTTGTTTTTTTTCAGAGCATATCGTTCCATGCAAAGTAGCTGATATTTCCTAAGGTTTTCTCTTCCTTTTTTTCTTCCAGAAACAGAATATTAAACTGACAAGGAGCAAGGCTAATGACCTCTCTGGCAAACCACATCCTGGTGTAAGTTGGGGCAAGCAGTCAAACTGACAGGAGTTTAACAAAGATCTACATAAGCCCCGTGATGAGCTAGGCAGCATAAATATTTATTAGCGAATCCTCAATTTGCTTCTAACCCCTACTGCATGTGCCATTTGACCTCATTTTATATTTAGTAAGAGAAGACACCAGGAAGAGTCAGCTCAAGGGCTCCAGTGGGTGGGGTCCGCTCTCAGCTAGCTGCCATTGCCTGGAGACTATTAATCTCTAAATCAACACTCTTCCACATTAAACAATTACATCTCTTAGCGTCCTTTTAACAGGGTCGCTATCTAAATTAGGACTCTGGGTAGCAGATGGAATCCTTCCAGTGGTCAGCCTAACCTCTCCTCTTGCAAATGCCCAACCTCGGTGCTGATAGAGAAATTGCTTCCTGGGAAACCAATTCCCTCCCTATTGTCCTATGTGCTGCTAGGCGACACCGTGGTGTCCGGGTGGGCTCCTGGCCTGCTTCCTCCTCTGAGGGGCCCGTAAAGCACAGGCAGTGTGGCTGAGCCCGGGGTTTAGAAGATATGTGTGAATGGAAGTTGTGTTCCATTTCCACGGTTTAGACATTTTTTCCCTGCTGCTTATTTTCCATTTGTGGAGCTGCTATGCAGCCTGCAAGGGCCTGGAGCTAGTGTTCTCAAAGCCCTGCACTGCCCACATTACACCCACTATTACCCGGGCTCAACAATTATTTCATTCATTACTTCGTTCATTCATTTCCTTTAAGCTTGTTTCCAAAGCAGCGTAACACATCAGTCAAGCTCACTCTCTATTCTACCGGCAAAGAGACTGGGCAGAAGGTGAATGCCCGGTGGCAATGCGCTCCCAACACACTGTTCAAGCGAGGGCACTTTTCTCTTCGCTGTCTACCTCAACCTTCAATCCAGCCTTGAGTGAGTGCAAGTGACAGTGAACTTGAGAAGAGCTAATAAAAACCTGATCTCCCTGATAGGATCTTCTTTAATTATTTAGAGAGAGGGACAGGCTGTTTAAAAACACTTCCTGTTCTAGTTCTTGGGTTGAAATTCTGAGTCGGCGACAGGTCGTAGAGCGGGGAACAGCAAGGGGTTGTCACTGTGGAGAAGGTGCAACAGAAAAGACGTTTTGGAGCCGCACTTTTCAACCTTCCTCATGCCGCGACCCTTTAATACAGTTCCTCATGCTGTGGTGACCCCAACCACAAAATTATTTGTGTTGATATTTTATAACTGTAATTTTGCTACTGTTATGAATAGTCGCATAAGTATCTGTGTTTTCTGATTCGTCTTAGGGGACCCCTGTGAAAGAGTCATTCAACCCCAAAGGGGTCTTGACTTATAGGTTGAGAACCGCTGCTTTAGTTGCAAAGAGGAAGGTGGGGCTGAAGACCTGTCATTTAGAGAAATGCTATACTTAAATTCTTTTGGCCACCAAAATTATTAGCAAGTATTCTACATGCTAGAGAGAAGAAAGGAGAAGGCTGGAGAGCAGGCAAGTCTGACTCCTGTGGGAATGTGGGCGAGCCTGGGAATACAGAGGGAGGGTGAGAGGGTCAGGTCAAAGGTCACTAGTTGTGTGAACTAGGACAAGTCTTAAATTTATCTAATCCTGGGCATCCTCATCTACAAAACATAACATCAACTGTCTGAGAGAGGACATTTGAAGATAAAGTGGGGGGATACAGGGAAGTCTAAAAGAACTTGCCAAGGACTTAATACATGGTGAAAAGTACCAAGCAAGTACGAGACCACTGCCATAATTTTGAACCAAATCTAAAGCAAGCTTTATTTAAATAGTGGTCAGGATGATGTGCTCTGACAAGGTCCGTTTCTGGGTTGTCAGAAAATGACCCCAAGTCACATTTTGCAAAGGCTCAAAACGGCAAACCCACAAGGCCATCGTATCAGGGCAAACATAAACCCTGACAAATTTCTTGCCTACATGTGCTCAAGCTCACCCAGTACAGATGGGTTAAACAAATGTATTTAGGGGAGCAAAAACATAACAATAGCCTCCAGCATTTCAGGAAATATCTGTCCTTGGATGAGGGGCTTACAGGTTAGAAGCATTTTTGTTTCGTGGATATCCTAGGCACAATAATTGAAACTTAAAACAAATTTTGGTATAACTGGGTTTTTGGTTTTGTTTTTTGTTTGTTTGTTTGTTTACTCTTTGGGGACCTGCGGCCACCCAGCTCCCAAATAAATATACGGAGACATAATCTTACTTACAAATGTCAGGCCTTAGTTTAGCTTGTCTCTAGCCAGCTTCTCTTAAACTAACAAGTTTCTCTTCTACATTTTGCCTCTGGGCTTTTCCCTTTCTCTATTCTATATACCGTTCTTTCCTTCTTACTCTGTGGCTGATTGTGTGGCTGGGTGGCTGGCCCCTGGCGTCCTCTATACTTCTCCTTTGCTCCCTCCTCTTTTCTCTTATTTATTCTCTCTGCCTGACAGCTCCTCCTATTTCTCTCTCCTGTCTAGCTATTGGCCAATCAGCTCATAATTAGACCAATCAGATATTTCAGATGGACAAAGTAACACAGCTTCACAGAGTTAAACAAATGCAACACAAAAGAATACAAGACATCATTGCATCATTAAGCAAATATTCCACAGCATAAATGAATGTAACACATCTTCAACTAATATTCCATAATACTTTGACTCTCACAATTTATGTGTGTGCGTGTGTGTGCATGCATGTGTGTGTGTGTGTGTGTGTGTGTGTGTGTGTGTGTGTAAACTTACAAATGAATAGAGCAATCAATTAACAGAAGAAAGGGAACCAAACAAATGACTGCCTGAACACCTGACAGTGTTTCTGGCAGATTTCTTTCTTTCTTAGGCTTTATACCTCAGAACATGCTCTTGAATCCCTCACACAAATTTAATAACCATGCAATAACCATGCACTTAATTAGGATTAGACACAATATTCAGTGAATTTCTGGGTATTTTAATGAAAAATCACAAAAGGAAATATTGGAAGCAGGGCAGCAGGTAGGAGACATGGAAGGTGCAAGCTGCACTATGGTGTCTGCTCACAGACTTACCTGGTCCATGTGGATTGACCAATCAACTCCTTTCCTGGAAGAGAAAAAAACACTGAGTAGAGAGAAAAGAAGAGAGGGCTGATGGAGATGAGCCTGCCTCTGTTGGTCAATTAACAAACTATCAACCGTTGGGTAGTTTATAGACAGCGGAACTACATTTTCACATGTGGAGACTGGGAATTCTAAGACCAATGAGCCAGCAGTGTCAGGTGTTTGGTTAAAGGCAATGTCTGGTTTTAAGATGGAGCCTTGTTATTCCACCCTCCAGAGGGGATAAAAGCCATCTTCATAAGACAAGAGGAACAGAAGGACACAAGGAGCTTGAGCCAGTTCCCTCTAGTCCTTTCGTTACATATTAATCCTGTCTATAAGGCACAGCACTTACAATCTAATTACCTCAAAGAGGCCCCACCTCTTAGTACTCTTGCATTGGGGAACAAGTTTCAACATGGATTTGGGAAGGGACACAGGCATTGAAACTCTAGCAAGGTACAACTTGCAACGTTAGCAGGGGAGGGAAACAATAGAAACAATAGCTATCTTAGGAGAAGCCAGGCTCAACTCTTTCACAGTCCTGGTGAATGCATTAAAACTAATTTCAACAATTGAACGAAAAAAGAAAGAAAGGAAAAGGAAAGGAAAGGGCATGACTGCTTTGGTAGGTGGAGGAGGAGGTTTATTACAGATAAAAGTAGAGCAGAGGCAGGAACATCTGGGAGCGTCCAGAGTGGACATGACCAGACTGAGCCCGGCCATTGTAGGGAGAGAGGGAGGGGAAGAGAGAGAAGGGAACCAGGTGCAACAGCCAAGAGGACAAAAGTACGAAAGGGACACAGGTAACCAAAGTGTCTGGATTCCGTATATATAGGGAAGAACTGAGGGAAGAGCAATGCAGTCCCCGGACCACAGAGTTCAGGGTAGACGGCAGGGTGTGCCAATCACACTCTGTAACAGGTAGGGACTGAGGGATGCTGGGAGAACCTGGAGGTTAGATCTGTTTTGATGTTAAATAGGCACACCAGCTGTTTGTCCAAGGTTTGAAACTTAACAGCAATAATTATGAAGAATCTGTCTGGGCAAAGCACCGGAAAATAGTGGAATGAATAATTTTATTTAATATTCACATGGAGTTTGCTGTGTTCTAGGCACCTTTCTAAGGCTCTTATAAATATTAGCTTGGTTAGAATTCAAAACAACTCAAGGTGATGGATATTTTATTAGCCCCATTTTTTTTAAAAAACCACAAAGGAACTGAGGCATGATGGTAAGACTCTTTACAAAGAGTCTGTGGGCAGGGTTTTGGTAGTGCTTAAATGTAGTCCTTAGAACACTGTAAAATCTGATTCTTGTGATTGTTATTTGTGGTTTATAGAGGAAGAAGCTCAGACCAAAGAACTCACATAGCCTACTTACAGTTACATGGCTACGTGGCTGAATTCCACTACACCAAACCATCTCCAGGGTTTCCAGGGTTCTCCCTCAGGGAGTTTTGATGATACATGACAATGTAACTGGTCCATCAGGAATAGATACATTCTAAAGAGACAGTCAGAGTGCCCCTCTTCCGCTATCAGACCGTTGAATTATAATTTTGCCAGTAATTTGACCTGGGGGCATCAAGACATGGAACTTATCTCAGGGAAAAGGGTTTATAATTTTCTAGATGACCTTGCAGGACAGACCTATATATAGCTGAGACAATGGTGGGCAGAGACCACACCTTGCACCACTGTTTAGTTTTGCCTGTCTCTTGTTTTCTAGATAAACACTACCTGGATCCTTGAAGTCAGACTTGTAGGAGTTGCTGGGTCTCTTTGTCCCTCTTCCCCATATGGCCATAGTGAATAGATCTCTTTCTTTCTGCCTTTCACTCTTAGTTTGACTCCTTTGGTTGGCTTATTGAGGAGGAGTGGGTCCTGGCTTGTTGAGGGTATAGGCTGTAACCCAGAAGTGCAAGAATTTTCTCCATCCTGTTCCTCCCCTTTCTCTACTCTGACACTTTATAAGAGAATAGACTTTCTGGCCTGGTTGGAGACTCAGCATTCCAGCTGGGCTAGTTCAGTCACTTTGGCTAAGATATTACCCCTAGGAAAGTGGGCTCACTTTAAGGCATGCTAAAGAACAGGCAGAATAGTTATTTCAAAACAAAACAAAACAAAAGGCACATTTTGTTTATTAGATTTTTGTCATTTCACTTTTTGTGTGAGTGTTTTGCCTGCATATTTGTTCATACAATACATGTTTCTGTGTGTATCATGTGTGTACTTGGTGCTCACAGAGGCCAGAAGAGGGTATTGGATCTCCTGGAACTGAAGTTATAGATGGTTATGAACCCCCGTGTGGGTAGAAAGAACTGAGCCCAGGTCCTCTAGAGAAGCAACAGTGCTCTGAACCTTTGAGCCATCTCTCCAGGCTCAGAATAATTAGTTCTCTAGTGAGATAGCAAGCTTTCCTTCCCAGAATCGCCACTCCAAAAGCAGTGGCTTTTGGGCAGCAGTCATGTGAGGGTTGTAAACTTTCTGCACGCCCTTTCCCTTCCTTCTCTCTCTTTTCTAAGCATGCTTTCCTTGACACTTTTGACTTTCCTCCCCAACATTCTGGGCAGCTGGGCTGCCATGTGTCTGACCTCCACGCTAACTTCAATGGTGTGACCTTTCCATCACTCCTCCTCCAAGTGGTGCAGGAGAATTGTCTGTAATCTGTCAATCATATTTTAAATAAATGCTGATTGGCCAGGCAGGAAGTATAGGTGGGAAAACCAGACAGGAAGTAGAGGTGGAGCAAAGAGAATGGGAGTATTCTGGGAAGCAGGAAGCTCCCTCTGCATTCCTGCCCAGATCACCAAAGAAGCAACATGTGAGCTGACAGCAGAAAAAGGTACCAAGCCATATGGCTAACACAGACAAGAATTATGGGTTACCGTAAAATGTAAGAATTAGTTAATAAGAAGACTGAGCTAATGGGCCAATCAGTTTATAACCTAATGTAGACTCTGTGAGATTTTCTTTGGGACTTGCGGGCTGTGGGGTACTGGGTGGGACAGAAAACCCAAACAAGCCAGCCCTCATGTTACATCCAAGGAGTGATGACTTTACTTGCCTTGGTTTTTGTGCTTGGTTTGGTTTTGTTTTTTCAAGAAAGGGCTCTCTGTATAGCTCTGGCTATCCTGGAACTCACTCTGTAGACAGGCTGCCCTTGAACTCATAGAGGTCTGTCTGCTGTCAAGTGCTGACATTAAAGGCATGCACCACTACGCCTGACTAAAATTATTTCATTTTTAATTATGTGTCTGTGTGTTGATCTGTGCATGTGAATGCAGGAGTCTGGAGAATAGTGGTGTCAGACCCTCTGGAGCTGGAGTCGTACATGGTTGTGAGAGCCCCAACATAGGTGCTACAGAGAACCGAACTCGGGTCCTCTGAAAGAACAGTATATGTTCTTAACCACTGAGTCATCTCTTCAGTCCTTTCTTTTAAACTCTTAATAAAATTGTCTTTGAAAAAAATAAATAATAAACAAATAAACAAAATTTTCCTTGAGCTTCTATTTGAGTGTATTTTTAAGTCATGTCATTTTAAGAGCCCCAAAAGGGACTCCGTTTTCCCTGTATCAGTAAAGGTGGCGCAGAAAGAACCAGATTTCTAGGGAAACTGCACACTCTCTCTCCCTGCCTCGGCAATGCTCTGGGGCCCAGAGATTTAAGGGTAGAGATCTCATTCCATTGTTCTGAACTCCGCTCCCATCCTTACTCCCTACCGCAATCCCCACCACATCTAGTCTGCCCTATTGTACATCCCCCAGTCTCTGGAAAAGAGAGACAAGAAGGAAGTGACCTACAGAGCGCAGAGCCAGAGGATCCCAAAGAGAAGTCCAGACATCATTCCCTGAGAGGCCTTACTAAGACAGAGAAAGACAGGGCTCGGTACAATAGGGTGACTATCAGCGGGGGTTTCAGAGTTAGGGTCAGGAAGATCCCCAGAGTCCTGAGACAGAAGAAATGGACTCAAGGATCACCTTTTGTGGCTACTTCTGCCTCCTCCCTGCCCCTCTGTACAGTTACCAGGAGTGCTGAGTTTGGGGCTTCAGAGTCTTTCAAGTCCTCTTGCTCTTTGCCCTCTAGTTCCTTAATGGATCAGCCTTCCTAGGGCAGGACCCACATTCCACACACCACCCTCTCAAAAGGGACCTGATAAACCTGGTCTAGCCGGTTGCTGCTGGGGAGGAACCCTGCAGCCAGCGCTGCCACTGTGTAGTTAGGTAGCTGTAGTGGTTAGCGGGGCAAGCCAGGAGTCAACGGGAGAATGACTATACGTCACGTCATACCTCCTATTTGCTCTCTCTGCCCCACCCCAGGGGCTGAGTTAGCACAGACCCTTGAGTTGTTCTGGACAGAGCCAAGAGCACCACTCTCAGTCAATGTTTGGGAAGGATGAACTCAGATATTGGGAGAACAGACAGCGTGGAGAGGCAGGTGCATAGGAAGCAGGGAGTAACCAGTCTGGGACAATTGCCTGGAATAAATACAATTGTCTGTCACAGACTTTTCTGTGCCAGCCAAGCCTGCTGAGCCAGCCAAGTTTAAAGGGACAATTGTGGATTTAGAGGCCAGCTGATCTCATTACCGCAGTAACTGATTTCAGGATGGAACCTAAGGTTCATCACAGAGGCAGGCCAGAGTCGGTGGGACAAGAAAGACCCAGGCTGAAGACTGAACCAACGTTGGATGATGGTTTGTACCAGTGAGTGACTACCTGACTAACTACCAGTGCCATCTCCAGTGGGTCAGTTTAAAAGCAAACGAAAGTGACCAGAGACCTTCCAGTGTCTTTCCAGATATCTGGGGCCAACCAATCACGTACCTGCTGCCTCCTTCACTCATCTATGTTATGCGTGACCTGACGAGAGCAGACACCACCACCTAGCTTGTCCCTCTGACCCCACCAACGTTCACCATCTCTCAAAGGCTGGCTTTCTGTGTTGCAGGAAACTCACATCCGCCTATTATTGTCTTCTCTGCTCTGAAGTCCAAACTGTGAAGACAGAAAGATTCAGCTGTATCAGCTGCCACAGTACCCTCGTTTCACCTAGTGATATCATCCTCTTCCTACTTCTTGGGGGAAGATTTGCCATCTTGTTCTCTCCCCTCCCTCTAGACACTGTTAGGAAACTCTCACAAAATTGGAGCCCCATGGAAGAGGGCGCTAATATGCTCCCCTAGAGAGAGCCCATCCAGAGGACAACAGGACAAACAGATAAGTCTCCTAGGAAATTGCCCCTACCTTATTCCTACCTCTGGACTTTCGTGAAACTTCCTTTTGTTTGAAACGGATCTTCTAAAACCTGTCAGCCTTGAACTCTCTGTCTCCACGTAGCCAAGGGTGACTTCAAATCTCTGGCCCTCCGGCTTCAACTTAACAACTGCAGTGATTGCAAAAGTACACAGTTAGGGCAGTGCTGGAGGCTGAACCCATGTCCCCTGAATATTACGTACATACCTTACCAACTGTTTTATATTCAAAGCCGCCCTCTCTAATAATTGCTCAGGGTCAATTAAGGTGATCGTCCCCCATACCTGGGGGGTCACACCCAGGAAACTTGGTAGGTAAGAGTTCTATCAGGTGATCTGGGTCCCAGCGTAAGGATCCGTTTTTAGTTCTTATAACGAGGGAAGTGTTAAATCTGAAGTGATGGAGGCCATTTGGAAATAACAGAAAGCAGATAGACATCCCCAGAAGCAGAAAGGCTGCAATCTCTCTGAGGAGGTGAGACTGCGCACACACGATTGGGGTGGGGGTGGGGGGTCTTTGAGTTTTAGAGACGGGAAAGGGGGAAACTTTGGGAATGGAAGAGTCCATTAGCAGGTCAGTTCTCCTGCAGTCTCCACATGGTAGGAACCAGAGGATTTGCCACGTGCATCTGCTAACAAGAAGCCTCTATGGGTGTCACCAGTCAAGTTAACTTTCTTGTCCAGAGCTTCTCAGTCCACCTTCTGAAGGGTGGGAGGGCAGAAATGGAAGGAGGAAGGAGAAGTGGAAATAATGAGGCCTGGCTAATCATTGGTGGTGCTTCCTCACCACCGCGTGAATGGAAAAACATAAACAAGAGAAAGAAAGAAAGAAAAAGGAAAGGAAAGGGCATGACTGCCTCGGTAGGTGAAGGAGAAAGTTTATTACAGATAAAAGGAGAGCAGAGGCAGAGACAGGGACATCTGGGAGTGTCCAGAGAGGACATGGCCAGGATGAGCTGGGCCATGTAGGGAGAGGGGGAGGGGAAGGGAGAGAGGAGAGAGAGGAACCAGGGCAGCAGGCAAGAGACAAATGGTGAGGTAACCAAAATGTCTGTATTCTATAGGGAAAAGTCTCTGGGGGAAGGGACAGCTCAGCCCTTGGACTGGAGAGTAGTGTGGGTGGAGGGGAGGGTATGCCAGCCTTACCCTGTAACTGGGAGGGACTGAGGGATGCTGGGAGAACCTGGAGGCCAGGTCCACTTTGATATGTTAAATGGTCTCCTCCACTGTTTGTTCTGGATTTCAAAGTTAACACCTTGCTTATTTTAGCCTTTCTGTTCTTTGTTTTTCTGGTTTTTGTTTGTCTGTTTGTTTTTGTTTTGGCTTTTTTGTCTGCTCATTTGTTTTGGTTTTTGAGACGGGGGTTTCTCTGTGTAGCAGAGTTGCCCAGCGTGGTTGAAGAAATCTGAACTCAGGTCCGTCCTCTGGAAGAGCAGCCAACCTTCTCAGCTGCTGAGCCATCTCTCCAGGCCCTGCCTTTTTTTTTTTTTTTTTACACTGAGACCTGAACTTAGGCGGTGGGGATGGCAGGCCAGTGCTACATCTCGGATTCTGGCTCTGTCTCTCATCTAAGCCTAGCCACATATTAGCCAGAAACAGTAATCCAGTAAGCCAGAGAATAGGAGGGGAAGGAATCCTGCCTCCTGCCTCACTGGAGTCCGTGTGCTTGTCCTGACCGCCCAGTGAACACAGACTCCTTTTGCTTGTGTATCCCTGGGATGCACAAGTGCAGAACTGGCAGTGTTCTGTGTCTGTAGTATCCGTAGCACACAGGCAAGGAAGCCTGATGTGTTTGTGTTTTCTTTGTGCACAGGGTCCACCTGCCCAGCTTAACACATTGCACACGAGAAATTAATAAACATCTCAAACTTGAAGGTTTCCTGCTGCCCCCGGGCTCCTTTAATCTGGTTTTCCCCATCCTCTGTTGTGACAATTCTTGGCTGAGCTTCAAAATCACCACTCACTGCTCTGTCTAATCTGAAAGCCCACGGCAGGCGGAGGAAGGAAGCATCTTCATTTTCTGGTTGCCCCACTTACCAAGTCAGGGACTGCCAGACCAAGAGGTATGTATGCACTGAGATGCTCCAGAAAAGTGAACTCTGACCTTCTGAAGGATTCTGCAGAAACAGCCTCTGGGGTGGGGGTGGGGGGGAGAAAGTATATGCTAGTTGTTATTATGATGAACGTGTTGGAAGAAAAGCCAAAACCAAATACCTTGTCTGCTACCTAAAAAGGTTCTTGGAAAAATTTTGCCTGCCAGCAAAACACTCAGCCAATCAGAGTTTTTCGGATGGCATCATACTCCACAAACGAGTTTTATTGGTAGGAGAGCCCTTAGGTATTGTGAGAGCGTGAAGTTTCCACTGTAGCACAAGGGAAATTGTCTGTGGCTTGTTTAAGGTTCTACTGAATTCCACCGTGCCAGTATTTCCAACCAAGCTGAGCCTCTTTGAGGCACTTGTTAAAAACCGAAGAATTAAGAAACTTTGTTTTCTTCGGCTCGCCAGAGCAGCAGATTCCAACCGAGTCTTCTAGTTTTGCTGTCTCGCAGCTGAGCGTTTCTTGCACAGAGGCCTTAGGACCCTTGCATAAGTTCACCACAGAGGTAGGAAGCGAGGCCACTGCGGGTCAGGCAGTAGAAAGGACTCTTTGGGGATGGGGGAAGGAAGTGAAGTAGGCTACACGCCTGCATTTCCATCCGATGAATTCCCTTTGCAGGCACGTCCTAAGTCCTCTATGCCCTGAGATGCTGCGCTAAAAATAGCTCCAAGATTACGTCCCTGCTTTGCAGCCTATAGTCCTCCAGACAGAGGCCCCGCTGTCAGCCAGTCTGTGCTGGAATTAGCACACAGTGTCAACACTGGGTTGCATCCCTGTTGGTGGAGGCTGCGGCCTCCCGTGTCCTTTGGTTACCTGTGTCCAGGAGGCCAGCCACACCCATCCTTAACCACTGATGTAAAGGATGTCATGGGCTGACTCACTCTCTCTGTGTTATTTCAGACAGCAAGCTGTTCCTGCCTCCAGCACCTTTCCATAAAGCAGCTTTTCCTTCTCTGTAACTGGCCCCACCCTCCCGGGCATCCAGGAAACCTGAGCTCCCAAACTCTCCTCCCTGCAGTCAGTGTCTTTCTCTCAGCCGCTGTCTTTGCCACCCTCTACCCGGCTCTGGACTCCTAAGCTGTGTTCATGATTCTTGGACAGGCTTACGTATTTTTGAGTTTCTGGGTACCATCTGTGTGTGTTCTCCTCACCTTCACCCAGACACACTAGAAACATTACTCATTGAACCTGAAGTCAACCAGTCTGGAAATCAAAGCGGGTTGATATATTTATGGTGTAGAGAATTTGTAAGATTAATGGCCCGAAGGAATTTGAGAAAGATTGGTTAAACTGAAATCCTAGAATGTAAATGTTTAAATGTCTTATATATACTTACATAAGTATATATAATCTCCTGCCCCCATTTTTCTCGGTACCTAATTCCTAGGGAGATGAGAACATACATGGTTTTGTGTTCAGAAATCTTAGCAAATAAATGAGATATGTTTGTCGGTTTTTCAGACAAGTTCCCATGGTGTTGGGCAGGTTGGCCCTAACTCCCAGGCTCAGGTTTATTCTCCAGAGTATCTGAGGCTACAGTCACTCATTACCAAATGTAGCAAATAGGCAATTTGGGCATAAATTACAGCCTGTCTCAGGGTTACTAATGCTATGATGGAATACTGTGACCCAAGTAACTTGGGGAGGAATGGGTTTATTTGGTTTACACTTCCTTATCACTGTCCACCATCAAAGGAAAGCAGGACAAGAATTGCAATGGGGCAGGGACCTGGAGGCAGGAGCTGATGCGGAGGGCTAATGGAGCTGCTGTACTGCTTACTGGCTTGTTCATGGTTCCTACAGCCTGCTTTCTTATAGAATCCAGGCCCTCCCCCCGTAAATGGCACCACCCACAATGGCCTGGGCCCCCCCCCCATCGATCACTAAGAAAACGCCCTACAGCAGGATCCTATGGAGGCATTTTTCTCAATTGAGATTACCTTCTTTCAGATAACTCTAGCTTGTGTCAAGATGGCATAAAACTAACCAAGACACAGTACAATAAGATGAAGCATTTAACAATCCAGCACCAGCTTCCTAAGGGCAGGAAGGAAGTTGGAGGACCAAGTGTGAACTTTTTTCAATGGCACACTCAGGTTCAAGGCACAAGAATTTTCAAGGGACATATCATCGCTCTCATTTGCCCTGACAAAGGGCCATCCTTCACCTACTTCAGGGCATGTTCTTCCTTTCAGGTGACATTCCATCACTTAGTTCTTGTAGTGGTGGTAATAATTAAGGCACCTATAAGGCTGGAACTGATAAGAACACAAGGGCCTGAACAACTTGTTTTACTGAAAACAGCCTCCCAAAGGTGGAAATGTCTCTGTAGGTCCCAAGAAACTTCAGATGGAGGAACAGAAAGGAGAGGGAGGACTGTGGTGTGAATTCAGTGGTAAAGCTTGTGCTTAGCACACACAAGACCTCAAATTAAGATTAGTGAAAGAAGAAAAAGAACAGAGGGAAGGAGGAGAGGGGGGAGAGAGGGAGGGAGGGAGGGAAGGAGGAAGGAAGGGAGAGAAGGAGAAAGGAAGGGAGGAAAGAAAGGAAGGAAGGAAGAAGAAGAAGAAGAAGAAGAAGAAGAAGAAGAAGAAGAAGAAGAAGAAGAGAGCAAACTGTTTGCCCCTGAGGCTCAAACATAGAGTGAGAGTTCTTCAGTAGAAGTGGTAGGCAAGACCTGCCTCTTAGCCCCATCCCTTTGGGCCCTTGTTAGCACCATCTCTTAATCCACCACCAGAGGTTAAATAAAACATTGAAGGACTCAGGTTGTTAAAGTATGCCTTGCATTCCCATATAAAACCATGTAGCCAAATATGGGGGTCGTGGGAAAAAAAAGTGTCAATAGCAAAGGTTTCTGAACATGCAACAGCAAGGACTTATTTAAAATCAAGCAAAAATCAAATTAAACCAAGCATGCAACCAATCAGAGTTGCTTCTGGCAGTGTTTGCCCATGTGGTATCGAGCAACCTCACTGGACCCTTGGCACGTGCAACATACACGCTTCTGTACTGTGTATGCTGCCACGTCACGAACCAATGAGCGCTCCTGAAACATCTTGGCTCAGATTAGAGGCAACGGCACACGTTTTTGAACCACAGTGCTTTTACTGCATACATATGGTTTTCTGCGCTTATGGAAATGCCTTTCTGTCTCCTGGCTAGCCTTTGTCATGTCTCGGTCTTCAGACTATGGTATCTTGTGCAGACAGGTCTCGTCACTTAAAAAAATGAAATGGAGAACGAGACGCCTTCAGTTGTGCCTCACTTTGTTCAGTCTCCTTACCCTTTCTCACAGCAAAGGCCGTTGTTGGTTGACTGTGGTATTTGTTTGGTTTTGCTTTGCTGGCGAAATTCTACTCAAGGCCTTTTGGATGAGCTATATCTCCCTCCCATTATTGACTATTTTAAAATCTGTAGCAAGCACCCATTCATATATCCTGTTTTGTATGTACTCTCTTTAAAAACTAACCCTAAAATCGGGTGTGGTGGCACACACCTTTGATCCCAGCACTCAGGAGGCAAAGGCAGGCAGATCTCTGAGTCCGAGGCCATCATGGTCTACAGAATGAGTTTCAGGACAGCCAGAGCTGCACAAAGAAACCTTGTCTTGAAAATCGAATACAATCAGACAAACAAACAAACAAACCCCTAAATTTAATTATGTACCTGCTATGCTGAACATTGTATTTGGAGTTAAGAAAACATAATCACCACAAGTATGTGTGGCAGAGACAGTCCTCAGTAAATTTTCCATGTGCTCACTTCTAAAGCAGGTGATTAGTACAAGCTAGTTCTGCCTAGTAAACTATGAAGAGAATTATCTCCATCTCTCTTCCATGGCAGAACAGGTTTTGTGTTTGTTTTGAGATCGGATCTGTTTTTCAGGTTCTCCAACCTGTGGCTCATGACTTCCTTGAGGGTCAGATGACCCTTTCCCGGGAGTCCCATATCAGACATCCTGCATATCAGATATTTATATTATAATTCATAATAGCAGCAAAGTTACAGTTATAAAGTAGCAAGAAAAATTATGGTTCAGGATCACAACACAAGGAACTGTATTAAAGGGTTGGAGTATTAAGAATATTGGGCACCACTGCTTTGTATTATAGCCCTGGCTGTCCTAGAACGCACTGTGTAGACTAGACTGGCCTCGATCTCACAAGAGATCTGCCTTCCTCTACTTCCTGATTGCCGGGATTAAAGGTGTGCACCCTGTCACTGGGCTGGTAGTCTTGGAAACTCGTAAGATGGCGTCATGAGCTGTTATATGAAAGGACATCCTGGCTTCTTAGTAGCATGTTGATAGGACAGCTGGAGTTAAGGTATCCCCTTTGTACGAATAGGAAAACACCTTTCATATATGCCTTAATTAGGGCTTCTGCTGCTGTGATAAAACAGCATGACCAAGAGCAGCTTGGGGAGGAAATGGTTTATTTTAGCTTAGACCTCCATATCACAGTCCACATGATGGAAGACATGGCGGGTCCCCAAACAAGACAGGAACCTGGAGGTAAGAGCTGATGTGGAAGCCACAGAGGACTGCAGTCTACTTGCTTGCTCCCCCTGGCTTGCTCAGCTTGCTTTCTTACAGCGCTTAGGACCACAGTCTCAGTGGAGGCACCATTCACAGTGAGCTGGGTCCTCCCACATAATCATCAGCCAAGAAAATACACCACAGGACAATCTGATGGGGGCATTTCCTCAGCGGAGGCTCTCTCTTCCAAAATGACTCTAGCCTGTGTCAAGCTGTCATAATTTAGACAGCCCAATATTTTCCCCTGTGGTATTAAGGTTTGTTATAGATGCACAATTTGACATTGTGCTCTCTGATCAATACCACGTAGAAGTATTAATCAAGTATGGTATTTGTTCCTATTTCTACCACTGCCTAAGAATTGTTTTCTAAAAAAACACAAACTTAGGCTAGGGCAATAACTCTGTCCATAGGGAGTGCACTGTGCAAGCATGGAGACGAGTTCAGAGCCCACATGAGAGGCAATACATGGCGTCATGGATTTGCATACCCAGT